CCCCCCCCCGCCGCCCTGCAGAGCCTAAGGTAACCAACACACATGAGGAGTCTACCTGCATCCCCATTAGACCGCTAACTGTATCGGGCAAACGCATCATAGGCCAGGACCCAACATACAACACCATGGACAGTCCCTCGGGTGGTGCACAGGCAGTGTCTGTAATAGCTTACCTGTGTCAGCCAAGGGGGTATGCAAGTGATTTGTTATGTAAACACCCGCCGGTGTCTCTGCACAGAGGCGCGGAGTTCTGAACCCACAACCTCAGACCACGATGCGCATTGACAACCAGTGCCCCAACCACTGAGCCACAGGCCATGCCCTTGTTTTGCTTTGGTAGCTTATAATAGAAGTTTCTGTCAAGTTTTGCTGACTGGAATCTCTTGATGATCGATCGTTGTTATGTTTTTGGATTTATAACTCAGGCCTCGTATGCAGTGGGAGAATGTGTACCGACTTTGCCAACTTCGCAAGAAGTATGTCCCTTTGTATGTGAGCTTGTTGCAATCTGGAGGTAGAGGTGACCACCCCGAACTTCGTGCGATGGAAGCAGAACTTGACGAGGAAGTTGTACTCCTCTGGAGGTGAGGAGCTTGCTACTGTCCTTCGGTGTCTTGTAGCCTGGTGCTTTTTTGTGTTTGGAAGTCAGGAACAGATTGCCAGCTCCATGACATGGGTGAGAAGGTAACATTTGTTTAACCCTTCAATGTTTGTTTAATCCTTCAAATAATTGATCGACAGGGGATTCCAGCTAGGTCAAGAATCTGCAACTGGGGAAGAAGTTGGAAGAACTATTCTCCTTCTCAAACCTGTTACACGATTTTACATCCATTTTGCAAGGATGTCACCCATGCTAAAATGTTTGGAAATTTTCATCTGTCACATCATGCTACAGTGCATCTGAAAATGCCCTGACCAAAGCCCAGACTGCCTGAGGAGTGCATCCCCTGGTGTGTGTAAGGTTTTGACTATTCCTTCCCCACCATCCCCGCCCCCCCCCCCCCCCCCCCCCCCCCCCCCCCCCCCCCCCTCCAGGGTGGTGCCTAACATTACTGTATTTGATGCCAGTTCAAACTCTGTTATGATCCTGGTCGATTTCGAAGTACACATTCATGAGAAACTATGATGCTGTCCAATTGCAGAAATAAATGAATGAACTTGAGAGGAGAGAGGGAAAGAAGAAGAAGAAGAAGAAGAAGAAGATGATGATGGAAGAAAGAAAAAGAACAAGAAGATGTGCAAAGACCAATGATAATTCCCAATTCCCTTCTTCTTCGCCAATCACTCTCCTCCTTTTCTCCTCCCCTCTTATTCAAACAATAAACAATAAAAATAATGTTGAATGGCTGAACCAGAATCAATGTGGAGTCCCTATTCGACTGCTGCTATCACATGAGGTCCACCATAGCTATGGCCACCCTTCTTCCTTCCTCCTCAAAGGCCGAGGCTATGGTGGACTACCAGGGCCTTGCCCTGCTGTACTAAGGACAACACAAAGCAGCTATGGCTGCTCCTGCTCAGGCCGCCAATGCCTGACTCTGCCTCGAAGCTTCTTGGTGCAGCTCTACCCCAGCGGGGCCTTCCAGATGCAGTGTCCACCAAGGTGATGAAGATGGCATCCTCCATAGCCAGGTAAGTACCTCTGGCGCTCTCCCTCTTCCTAGTCCGCGTCTCCCTCCTCCTCCNGCTCTGCCTTCCAGATGTAGTGTCCACCAAGGTGATGAAGATGGCATCCTCCATAGCCAGGTAAGTACCTCTGGCGCTCTCCCTCTTCCTAGTCCTCGTCTCCCTCCTCCTCCAGCCCGTGCTCCTCCACCATAGCCACGGTGGAGAGCTGGGCGCTCTGCCCTCCACAGCAGCGCTGCTCCAAGCAGCGTTGGTCCAGCCAGCGCTCCAAGCAGTGTGTCGCCAAACTTGCACACCGAAGAATGAGGAGGACCACTTCGCTCCTCCTGGAGATATAGCGGCCTGCTTGCCTCTTGGGCGGTGACTTCCTAGGCGGCACAACCTCCAAGCAACCGGTACCTCCTCCCTTGCGGAGGGAAACATCATTGCAGACTCTGATATTGCCTGTACAGGCCCTAGACTCAGACTGGTTGGACTTGTACCCGCCTAGACCTAGCCTACAACTACTGGGCCTCTAAAAATGCCTACTTTTGTCTTCTTCTGCTCGGCCTCGAGTACCCGGCACGTCTACCTCTACTTGGTGTGGTACCGACCTACCTGCTAGAGTGTCGCGGGCCTTTTTCTCTGCCACTCGAGTGTTTTCCCCACTGCAACCCTCAATATCATGGCCACAGGTAAGTACCGGTCTTTCGGGCCTTCCGAACGAACAAGTGCCCTTGCGGGTCACACACGCACTCAAGCCCGACAAGCACTCACACAGGCATGCAGACCAGCAAGCACGCACACACACAGACTTAGAAAACTCAGCATCAAGTGGCAAACTCAGCAAGTCATAAATTCCATTGGCAAAACAAAAAAGTCAGCTGTGTGTGTCAGTCCATGTTTGGCAGGTCTCTACACATCTCTTGACTAACGGTTTCATGTTTGTTCCATTCAGCCACGAGGCAGCACTGGGTAAAGTAAGATTGAGCGAGGCGGGACCTGATTTAGCTGTTCCATCTGATTTACAAATCTTATTAACAAGTTAACAACAGAATTTAGCGATCAAGTCAGGCCTTCGGCTTCGCCCAAACAAATAGTAATAAAATCTATACTATTAGTATATCATCTTGTAAAATAGATTCTGTCATAATAAGTAGATAGATTATTTATATTTTATAAGTATAATCCATGAATTAGTTAATCTATTTTTTTTATTGTTTTTTTATATTCATTATCCTTTTGATTTATTCAATTAATGAAGAATTGTTGAATTCTTATTTTTTGCTTCGAATCTCATCTCATTCATCTATTGTAATTCAATGAATATTTTATTTGTTCCTATTCATTTATAACACAAAACATTATCTTAAAGTTACCTTTGCACCTGATTCTTCTAATTGAGCTTTTACACTCTCTGCTTCTTCTTTGGAAATTCCTTCTTTCACAGTTTTTGGTAAAGCTTCGATAAATTATTTTGCTTCTTTGAGTCCTGAATTTGTAATACTACGAATCACTTTAATTACTGTGATTCTACTAGAGCTAGGTACTTCTCCGAGAATAAAGTCAAATACTGCTATGGGTTGCTTTTTTTTGTATCTTTCACGGTGAAAGTACGTATGGCACGGACCTGAATCTTATGTAGAAGCAGCGACTGTTGGATCTGGTAATTGTTGTAGATTCAGGTATCTTACCAGTTCAATATGGTACCAGTCCAAGTTTTTTCAGACCATTTGTGGATGTGGTCGGTGCTTACTTGGTGGTTGTGCCTTCTTTGTTGAGTATGCTGCCTTTTGCCCTCCATCGGAGTCCATCCTTTAATGGACTATTGGGGGCTTTCATGTTTGTCTTTTTTTTTTTTTTTTCACTGTTTGTTGTGCGAAGTGCACTCTATATGCGGATGTAATTTGTGCAAGTGTGCCGCTTCAACGGCAGACGGATGTGAGGGCACCTAACCACACAAACGTAGCCAGCTTCACTATATTGACTATCTATACCTGTCTCGGGTTCATGGATGGTTTGTGATGATTTGTGGATGGAATGAGAGAGAGAGTTTGTTTTTTTATTGAAACACACACACATCGTGTTCTGTTTATTATACATGGCCTAATTCTTTGCCCTGCTTTAGAGAATGTGCGAATGTCTGCGGGTGGCCACGAGTATTTTGGTGTGGGAATGTATGCTTGGAGTTGTGGCCACAGTAGCTTTGTGAGGAGGCCCAGAGAGTGTTTGCTGTGGGTGTCATTTCGATGGGCTGCTCTTTAGGACCACATGGAAGATGGGGTAGCTTCTAGGGTACTTCAAGCGGTAGCACTCCTGGTGTCGCCTGAAGATCTTGTGGAGTTTGGGATTATGGTACACTATACATTCCAGAGTCCAGAGGCTATATAGCAAATGGGGGTGACTAGCCATGACGTGATAGAGATGGTGGTGACGTGAGTGAGTCTTTTGGGATGAATAGCAGTGCTGTTGTGCTTGTGGGCTGACTCGGGGGGCTCTCCAAGTTTTTCTGGGCTATTGGTGGGTCTGACCGGTGCTTTCTTGCAGGTGGAGCCTTCTGTGTTAGGTATGTTGCCGTTTGCCCTTCACTTTTTTTTTTCTCAGAACCTCTTGGTTCTGGCTCCTACCATTCTGGGGAGCAACAGTCCGGTTCCTCTTCCCCTGGCAAGTCAATATGGAATACATGGGAGACTCACGCATGCTCCTCCCCGTTATTGTCTGCGCGCCATTTGCCCTTCACTTTTTTTTCATAGATTGAAAAAACTACATATATCTGTGCAAGTGTGCCGCTTCGGCGGCAGACGGGTGTGTGGGCACTTCCCGCTCAACCACACAAACGTGGGGAACCTTGCACCTACTATTATATTGCCCACCTATACTTCTTTTGTGTTCTATTGATGGTTGTGGATGGAATGGGAGAGAATTCGGGGTTTTTAGAAAATAGTTCAAAATACACATTCCGGTGTTGCTAGCTCTTTGTTCTTTGCAGATTTGAGCGGTTAGGATCGGGGCCGTACTAGCCAGCTATTTGTTTTTGTGGTTCGATATGTCTTGTTGTTTTGTTTATTATACATGGCCTAATCTTTGGCCTGCTTTAGAGCGTGGTTTTTTTTTTGAAGGAATGTGTGCGGGTGGCCATGAGTTTTTCGGTGTGGGAATGTATGCTTGGAGTTCTGGCCACAGTTTCTTTGCGAGGAGGCTCAGAGAGTGTTTGCTGTGGGTGTCATTCCCATGGGCTGCTGTTTAGGAGCGCGTGGAAGGTAGGGTAGTAGCTTCTAGGGTGTTTTAAGCAGTAGCATGCAGTAGCGCTCCTGATGCACGTATGGACTGCTGAAGACGAAGCTGGAGGAAAGGCGCCGCAGGTAAGTCGACAGGTAAGTCCCCTGGCCTCCGCCAATCTCCTACTCCCACTGGTGCCGTCAACCTCTGCCAGCGCTCCATGCTCTACTTGAACTCTAGTGCGCCCAGCGCGAACACTACTGAACACTACCTCATACCACCTATGTGAACCAGTTATACGTCGCGCTGGTCCAACTGGGAGGCTGCCTCAACCAGTGCCCAAGTGTGCCAATGTCTGCCACCAAAACTGAAAGTGGCTGGCGCGTAAAGCGCCAAACTTGAAAAGGCCTACCCGGTGTTGCCGCTGCCAGTCTAGGCCTACCGGGCCTCATGCCGGTCCTAAACTGGACTGGTAACATTCCTACCCTGACCTGCAGACCCTACAGGCCCTAGTACAGCCAACGGGCCCCGCAGAGCCCGTGTGGGATCTGTGAATGCCACAGGAGGTGGAAGGAGGAGGAAGAGGAGTGTGCCACGTCGCAACATGACGTGAGGAGAAAGGAGGGAGGAGGACTAGGGGAGACGAGGAGGATGGAGGGGGAGGACAGAGGGATGTGGACTAGGGGACACGAGGAGGGAGGAGGATGCCAAGGGCGAGAGCAAGAAAAGAAAATCGCACGTTACATCTGTAGGAAAGAGGATGGAGGAGGGCAATCACAAGATGAAGAAACGAAATTGTGTGCCACACTGCCACATGACACGAAACTGGGAATAGAAGAGGGAGAAGTATAATAGATTGCGTGTGTCAAATTTTGACATTTGCAAGACTGAAAGCACCACTTCCGCCGATGCTATTTATCGACCCAATTTTTGCTATGGTGTGTGTGTGTGTGTGTGTGTGTGTGTGTGTGTGTGTGAGAGAGAGAGAGAGAGAGAGAGAGGGATCTGATTGATATGTTCTCAAGTCATTTGCACTTAGATAATATCATTGCTCCTAGAGTTGTAAATAATAAAAATATTATAAACTCTGTCAATCGTATTCCGGAACATTTGATTATCAGACGGAAGCATGTAGTAAAATAAAATAAAAAATGGAACGGAAAAGGAAGAGAATAGCATCCCCCTCTTTCTACTCATGGAATGATTCCTGTTTGGTTCTGGACTACGTCTTGTTCCTTTCTGTGGAATTAACCCTAGGGCCATCGTATCCATCGGGATTTGAACTTGGGGTGTGTTATCAGGCACCTACCTAATTCTTTTCTGTTTTTGTTCAATCCTTTGTCCTTCTATTGCAGAATGGTCGCACACATGCAGGTGGAGCGTACAAAATCGAAAGCAGCGGCGAATGCTCGCAAAGATGCTCAGAAAGCGCAGAAGCAATCATGGTTGTCCTGGGCATGGTATGTGTGTATATGTGGCTTTTCATTGCCCATTTTTGTGCTCTCTCTCCTGCAGATAATCTCATACCATGCTTTGTTATTGTGTCACAGCCCTCTGCTGTTATATGATTCAAAGGCCTCTAATTTTTATTTTAAAAATGAACAATCTCGACCGTTTGTTGGTTAGTGTGTCATCCTTGCAGAGGGCCATGCTAATCTAGGCATAAGGCCCCAATGGGCTCCTTTTTGACCCTGTATGCAGCACAGTCGGCCACCCTAAGTGAAGGCAGGCCCGACCAAGGCCAAGAGGCCTATTTTTCGGCTACCATGCAACTGGGTAAATTCAGGCAGTTGCGCAGCGCTAGTTGGTTGAAGAGCGCCCGGGCCCTGGCTGCCTTTTTCGTACGTAACTGAGGCAGGCCCTGGGCCGGATACACAATAAGGGCCGAACACAGGCTGCAGGCAGTTGGGCACAGGCAACCGTCACAGGCCCTGGGTCTGATGCGTTTGGACCGGGGCTCAGTATCTCGGGGCCTACCGGAAGCTTCTGGGCAGGGGCCCACCGCAGGCAGGCCACACGCAGCAGGCAGGCCACTTCCATTTAGGAAAGTGCCTGCCCTCACATTTCACATTCAGGCACTGGCTGCATGCTGCCCAAGTGCTGCTGCGCTAAACGCTGGCCAGAGCCCACGTGCTCACGGGCGAGCTGGATGAGCAGGCAGCCATAGCCGAGCTGCGCTGCACTATGCTGGATGGGGCGCATGGTGGTCCTTGGGTGCATGTGGCATCTGTGAGTGGGGGATCGAGGTTGTGAGTGATACGAGATACATACCTGGTGCCTGAGGTGAATGGCATTGGCCGAGATCTGCTCGTACTTCGGGGAGCTGTTGACGTCACCAGCGGCATTGTAGATAGGCTAGATAGGATCTTCCATTTGTAGTCTGGGCGCAGAGCGCCAGATAGGATGTCGACATTTGTTCATTGTTGATGATGATGAGACTATTGCAACATTGTCACTTGTGAGCTTTTGCTGTGCTCTTTCTTGGTGGAACTCGTGTTGCAATTCTACTTTTGGTTAGAGGTCATGACTATCTGGTTACATGTGTATGATGCTGCTTTGGTTCTGGGATTCGCTATCGCTCATTTTCCTTGCAGAAGTTTCTTTGATACTTTTTGAAACGACACAATAGGGACTTGTCAAAAGTGTATAGCAATGATTTGGTGCATCTGTTGCAGTTGGACATCAGGTTGTATAAACCAGGACAAAGGTCATAGATTTGTGTATACCAGGAGGAAGTATCATAGGGTCGGGTAAACCAGAGTAAAGACAACAGGCTTGGCTATATACCATGTATACCATACTCACCCAGTTAACCCGACATTTGCAGACACAGAGATTCGATCCCTAGACCTGTGCCCGAACCCTGTACATTGACGCTGTGTGCTGAGTGAGATTCGATCCCTAGACCTACCCTGTACCCTGTACATAGGCCCAGTGATCTGTGTGAGACTCGATCCCCAGGTCTGGAGATTAGGAGTCAGGTCTGTTACCGTTAGGCTTAGGAAGGTCTGTTCTAGAAGTCTCTATTTGAGTCTACTGAGGCCTAAAGTCTGTCTGGAAGTCTGTAGGCTCTAGAAGGTCGTAGGTCCCTGTAGGCCAGTCCAGTCAGCAAGTACCAGGGGTAGGGGCTCCACGCGGGGAACGTTCTGAACCACACTGTGGGTTCCACACGTTTTGGCCCAGAACGCCAAACGTCTGGAAGCTTCCCTGAGCCACACGATTTGGCCCAGGTCCACACGTTTTGAGGCAGGCCCCCATACCTCCGAAGAGGTATAAATAAAGAGGCAGCGTCCAGCCATTCATTCATTCGCCTGTGTGCCATGCGGAAGAGCTGCCTTGGTATCTTGTGCGTGGAGAACTGCAGGTGCCCGCAGAAGAAGTGGGCTGTGAAGAAGATAGCGGCCATAGCGAACCAGTGAGAGAGACACGGGCGGCCATAGCTAGGAGGAGGAAGACGACGACGGCCATAGCCACCCAGCGGTTGGTGTTGGCAGAGTATAGACAGTGGGTGTGCCTGTGCAGCGTGGACATTCAGGGTGATCCTCGTACGTCCGTGCACGCGAGAGTCAGGGAGAGTGAGGCTGGTGGTAGAGAGAGTGTTCGGCAGCCATAGCCGCAAGTTGTACAGTTGATTCAGACTGAGTTTAATACAAGTTCATTGTTGTTTCTGAGTCGGAAGAATTTGGTTTTGCCATCGGTTCTCAAGTGTGCATGTTGTGAGTGAGTCTGAAGTCGAGTCTGATTGCATTGGTATCAGAGCTGGTTCCCGTTGTCCACGTTGGAGCTACAGCAGCGAGTTGGAGGAAGGAGAAAGCCGCCATAGTCGGAGCGTGGCAGAGAGAGAGAGAGAGAGAGAGAGAGAGAGAGAGAGAGAGAGAGAAGGGGGGACGGCAGCCATAGCTGCCAAGCTTGGGAAAGGAGACGACCAACAAGAAAAAAGAGATTAGACGCAGAGAGAGGGAAGAGGAAAGTGACGAAGAGGGAGACGAAGTCAGCTATAGCCGAGGTGAAGAAGACGAAGGTTTTGACAAAAAAAAGGTGGTCCACCATAGCCGGAGGGTTGGAAGCTTGACCAGGCCATTGTGAGAGAAGAGGGAGTCAATCGAGCAGGCCAAGATGCTGGCCTTGCTGGAGGAGCAAGAGGCGAAAAAGAGGCAGCTGGAGGAGGAAATGAGGAAGTGGACGCAGGAGCAGGAGGAGAAAATGGCGGCTATAAAGGTGGAGAAGGAAGAAGAAGAAGAAGAAGTGGTAGAAGAAGAGGAGCCATTGGAAAGAAGAAGAGGTGAAACTAGTACGAGTAAGGAGGAGCAAATTGAGAAGTTGAGAGAAGAGTGGACCGCACATTTGGAGCTGGGGGAAGATAGGGAGGCATAATTGGCCATACCCCAAGCAGAGAGAGAGGCGGCGAGAAGGGAGTTGGAAGCAGAAAGGGACCCGGTGAGGAGAAAGGCGAAAGAGGAGGAACAGCGAAGGGCATGGAAGTGGCATATGTCCCAAGAGAAAGTTAGGCGTTTGGAGGCGGCAGAGCGAGCAGAAAGGGACCTGAAAGCGGCGAAGACTAGGATGGGGAAGATCAGGGAAGAGATTGAGGTAGCCAGTAAACTCGATACCCTGACCCAAAGTGTGGAATCTTTACTGATTGCACATCATGACCGGACACAGTACATTCACAATTTAGAAGTAAAGGTAGATGCGATACGTGCTGGGTTTAAAGATTTCGCGCGTGATATGATGAAGCACCTTGTGGACCAGGTCCACCTGGCAATTAGTAAAACGAAAGAATTCTGCACTGGCGCCATTGAGGGCGCCAAGTTAGCGACTCCCAAGGAAGAGGAGCTGGCCCTAACACGCCGCGAGAAAGTCAAGGTCCGTTTCCCCGAATCCTTCAGTGGAAAGAAGGGGGAGGATTTTGATAAATGGGAGGCCAACGTGCACTTATAAGGAGTCACGCCTGAGGATCACCTTTTGGTGGCCTTCCAGGCCCTTCGAGATGAGGCGACCAGCTTTGCTAGGTCCCTCGCCCGCGCTGCAAATTGTGAAAATGATATGGTTACACATTCCAGACTGACAACCCTCTCAGAGTTCCTGAAATCGCTCAAGGAGCGATTCGCAGCGATTCTCAGATGTGATGCTGGGGCTCATAGCCTCCGACAAGCTCCAAATGACACACACTCGTCAGTGGAGGAGTGCACATGCACTCAAGTCCACGATGGACGAACTGATTGCGGTCCCTGGCATGGAGTAACTGATGCCCAACTACTTAACCTCGTCTACCGTGCCCTGCCTGAGAATATTCAGGGACATTTCTTCGAGAAGAAGAATAAGCAGGGCATCAGGGTTACCTGACCGTACGTTCGGGGGCCCCCGGGCTGGCCCCCGAACGTTCGGGCGTTTGGGGTCCCGTTCGGGGGCCGAACACCTCCAGGTTCGGTCCCCGCCCAAAAAAAATTCGGGGCCTAAAAATAAGTTTTTTTTTCTGAATTTTTTTTTGTGAGTTCTCTATGATGTAACATACACGCCTATAAATTTTGAAGCCATTCTGCTAAGCCAAAAAAACATTAAAAATCGTCAAAGATGGGGGTGTCAAAACGTGCTTGCCCACTCACTATTTTGTTTTTTTTTCCACTTCTAACTTTTTGTTTTTTTAATTTATTTTGGGGCCTAAAAAAAATTATTATTTTTGAAAAAGTTTTAACGAGTTATTGATTATGTAAACTACATATCTGTAAATTTTCAGGGCATTTGTCAATGCCAAAAGATAATTAAAAATCGCCCAAGATGGCGGTGTCGAAAAGGTGCTCTTCACTCATTTTAATTCTCTTTTTATTTTTATTTTTATTTTTATGAAATTTTATCATAGTGTTTATTTTCTGTATTTGATTTTCAATTAAAATTTGGTAAAGAATTTGGATGTAGTGCCCAGGCAAATGTTGTTTAGTTTATTTTTCTCCATAACATTTTTTTTTTCGGAATTTTTTGAAAACGTTTATTTATTTATTTATTTTTTTGGTCCGCGTTTGGCCCGAATGGCCGAACGCCTTCCGAAGGGGTCCCGTACGTTCGGGCGTTCGGGTACGGACGTTCGGCCCGTCCCGAACGCCGGCAACCCTGCAGGGCATGACTTATGATACACTTAGTCGGGAGGCAGTTGCATTTGCCGCCCAAGCGTCGCCAGTTACCACGTTCTGCCACAAGGACTTGTCAAAGGGAAAAACGTGGAAGGGACGCACCATCTCAGGCCAAATCAAGGCCAAAGATAGTTCGATACTAACAATGGAGGAAGGTGGTGTTGACGAGGTTCCCCAGTTTGACATCGAGTGGGGACTAGAGGAGTAGGATAGTAGCGCTGGTCAGGGAGAGCCTATGCTGCTGTCGTGGCCGGGTGGAGGGCGCAAGGAGGAAGGTCTGGCCAGAATGGCCGAGCCCCGGGTGGCCGAGGACAGGGCGGCCAGGGGGTTGG